CCACCTCCATCCTCCTTCACCTCCCCTCACCCGTCCACCATAGCCAACCACCTTCCACCTTCTTCCTCCACCACCTCCATCACCCATCCACCATAACCATCTTCCACCTTCTTCCTCCACCATGTCCTTCACCCATCCGCCATAGCCGGTCACCTTGCACCTTCTTCCTCCACCATCTCCGTCACCCATCCACCATAGCCGGTCACCTTGCACCTTTTTCCTCCACCATCTCCTTCACCCATCCTCCATAGTCGGTCACCTTGCACCTTCTTCCCCCACCATCTCCTCCACCCATCAACCATAGCCGACCGACCACCTTCCGCCTTCTTCCTCCTCCATCTCCCTCACCCATTCACCATAGCTGTCCGCCTTGCCCGAATGTCCAAAGGACAACCCAAAACACCTCCCACTTCCATCCTCCTTCGTCCCCCCTCACCCATCCACCATAGCCAACCACCTTCCACCTTCTTCCTCCACCACCTCCTTCACCCATCCACCATAGCCAACCATCATCCACCTTCTTCCTCCACCATCTCCTTCACCTATCCACCATAGCCGATCACCTAACGCCTTCTTCCTCCACCATCTCCTTCACCCATCCACCATAGCCGGTCACCTTGCACCTTCTTCCTCCACCATCTCCTTCACCCATCCGCCATAGCCGATCACCTTGCACCTTCTTCCCCCACCTTCTCCTTCACCCGTCCACCATAGCCAACCACCTTCCACCTTCTTCCTCCACCACCTCCTTCACCCATCCACCATAGCCAACCACCTTCCACCTTCTTCTTCACCCATCCACCATAGCCGACCATCTTCCACCTTCTTCCTCCACTGTCTCCTTCACCCATCCACCATAGTCGGTTACCTTGCACCTTCTCCCTCCTCCGCCCTCGTCCGTCACTCGAAGGTCGTAAGTAACAAAGGCGCTGAGGAGAGCTAGGAAACACTAGGTAGGACGGTAGGGTACGCTAAGGGGTGAGGTTGATTAGGGACTAGAGGTTTCTTCCTTCATCTCTCTCTCTCTCTCTCTCTCTCTCTCTCTCTCTCTCTCTCTCTCTCTCTCTCTCTCTCTTCCTCTCTCTCTCTCTCTTCTCTTTCCCTCTTCTTCTCTCCCTCTCCGTCTCTCTCTCTTCCTTACTCTCTCCCCTAAAACCCTCGTCTCCTCCACCCTCCCCTCTTCCTTGTTGGCACATGACTAACCCCTTTCCCTCACTTGCTACATTGCCAGGGAACGAACGGTAAACAAACTCGGTCCTCACTTGGTGGAGAAAGAGGGCAAGGAGAGGGTTGTCGGTCCC